ATTCATAGTATGTAATAGAACAATGTGGGTTTTCTTTAGGGAAAGCACAGCAGAATCCAATTGTTTCTGTGCTGTAATAGAATGGAACTGACTACCTATACAGGCTAGGAGAAATGGGAAAGACGATTCCCTCCTTTGCATCATTAAGTTCTATGTTTAGAATTCAGTGTGATCTATAGAGCTCTGTTAACAGGCTTTTTCAACAAAGCAGATGTGGATAGCTTAAAAGCCATGTGAAAGTGAGCTCCACCCTGTCCGCTTGAAATGAAAATAAAACAATTCACATGTAATTTTTCATATTTACCTGTAAAGCAAAGAAAAATACTTTTCGAATTTCTGAAAGCTTCAGAGCTATTATCCTTACCCTAGCAACCCCACATGACTAGTTAAAGATCTGGAATAGGAATGCAGATCATAAGTTCCAGCCTCACTGTTTGCATACTTGTCCCTAGTCAAAGCATTGATATTAAGGCATAATGAGCATACGTACAGCTATGTCAACAATTGATGTTTCTATATTTCCCTTCTGATGTTTTTTTTTTAATGATTCGACTGCCCGCATTGTACTGGTACACGTGCGGCGCTCGGCTCTTCCAGGTTCGGAGCGTGCATGAGCTTCCCTGCCTTTTGCTGCAGGAGATGTATGTCAGCAGGTCCTGGCCAATGATTTTTGGCTGGGACTCTGATTTCCTGCAATGAATGAAGAAGCAGAGCTGCACCTATATTTGTGAATACAGGAACAGAATCTAGCTGGATCTTCTCTCCGTGGAAAGTTTTCATTTCAGGGAGAAAAGAAAGACATTGCACATGAGTAAAAGCAGCACATTTGCACCCACAAGTTAGACACATTTTAACCCCCTGATTGCCATTTCTGACCCTTTGATCACCTCCTGACACCCATTCAGTGCTGTTAGTACAATGTAAGCATATAGTATTTTTCACTGATCACTGTATTACTGCCACTAGCCACATCAAATAGCACCAGAAAGCATCAGGATCAGTTAGCTCCCCTCCCAGCCAGGGTCAGCTAACGTTAAATTCCCCTCACACTATAGCACTCACGCTATAGGTCTCTGATCACCGCCATTACTAGTATAGTGTTTTTATGGATCAATATATTGATCACAAACAGAACTAAACTCATGCCCCTTTAGTATTAGTGTCCCCCAAATGTGTTAGCAAGATCTGCTCTGTTCGTGCCAGCACTTGCATTTAGCCCCTCTGCCCCCCATCCCCCAACAAGAAGTGCACTGTCAGTATAATTTCTGACACTACATAATTATGTGATACACTGCAGACAAAACTGCAGCATTAGCTGAATCAGGCCTAATCTCTGCTAGCACTAGCAGGTGAATTTTATTGGTAGTGGTTCAAGCAGTCCCTGACAGCCAGGTGCTCTTTTTCTTTAAGTCACACTAGGTACTTGTAAATTTAGTGCCCAAAATGTCCAAAAAGAGGTACACTAGTGAAGAGGCCTACAGGATTCTGCGCATATCCAATGAGAGAGAAGGGAAAGCCTCTCTGACCAAATCCTACTCAGAATACAAACCTGTAGATAGCAGCAGCACCCCAAGTGGTAGCTCAGACAATGGAGAAGAGCTCCCTGTTAAGATCAGGCATATCCGACCCCAAGTAGCTGAAGTGCTAGGAACACATGACATCTCATATGCAGCAGGGAGCCGGTACTAGTGTCACACTACCTTTTGGTGAATTGGCAAGCTCCAGCGGCCTAGTTCATCCTGGCATTTTACATACCAGCACTGCAGTATCACTTGGTGGTGAGTCTCATAAGTGCAGTACAGTGGTGGCTAGCATAAGTAGCATCCCACACCCACCAAGAATTCAAACACAGGCCTGTAGAGCCCATAGAGTCCTTCTGGATGTGCTTGCACTTGTACTTGATTCTGCAGCACTTGTACTTTCACTGCCCAACCTGGAATTTAAGTGGAAACGGTAAATTTAACTACTCCCCTTGATTTTTTTTTAGCTGTTTTTAAGGAAGATTTGTATAGTTTGATTGTGGGCCAAAGCAATTTATACTCACAGTTCAAATTCAGCTCTTGCCAGACCATTAGCATGGTCTCTGATTGGTTTCTGAATTTAAAACTTTTTTGGGCCTAATTCTCAACATGGACATTACAGAAAAAAATTAGTTGCGGTTGTATTGGTCCACAGACCAATTCAGGCATTCATCATATGCCCATATTCTCTGCAGCCATGGCCAGGAACAGATATGAGATGATAATGCACTTCATGCATTTCAGTGATAACACATTCTGTTGTCCTTTGGGTGACCCTGAACATGACCGGCTCTACAAAATTTGGTCCCTCATAAACCACCTCACTGACAAATTTGTTTATATGCCCCAGCAAAACATCTGTATGGATGAGTCCCTCATTCATTTTACTGGCCACCTTGCATTCAAACAGTACCTCACCAGCAAGCGTGCCAGATCTGGGATGAAACTGTATAATCTCTCTGAGAAGGCCACAGGTTATAAGTGTAATTTTGGGATTTATGAGAAAAAAGACAGTGAAGTAGAGCCCCTCAACTGCCTAGACTACATGGGGAGCAGTGGCAAGATAGTATGGGACTTGGTGTCGTATTTGATCCACAAGGGGTACCACTTATATGTGGACAACTTCTAAACAAGAGTGCCACTATTTAGACATTTATACAATCTTGGAATTGGCCCATGTGGCGACCTAATCACTGGGGCTTCCCCCAGTGGCTTGTAAACACATGATTCAGAAAGGGGGAGAAAACCTGCTTGAGAAATGACGAACTGCTTGCAGTGAAGTAGAAGGACAAATGCTATGTTTTCATCCTGTCTTCCCCCAGTGGCTTGTTAACACCCGACTTAGAAAGCGGGAGAAAGCCTGTTGAGAAATGAAGAATTGCTCGCAATGAAGTGGAAGGACACATGCAATGTTTTCATCCTCTCTTCCATTCATGCAGACATGATGGCCCAAAGTAGCACGGCATCTGGCGTTGTTGAGAAACCTCTCTGAGTCCATGACTATATCCTTAAAGTGATTCTAAAGGTTCTTTTTTTTTTTTTTTTTCGTAAAATAACAAATGTCTATACTTACCCACTGTGTGCTGTGGTGTTTCACAGAGCAGCCTGGATCCTCCTCTTCTCAGGTCCCCTGCAGGATCTACTGGCTAATCCCGTCTGTCGGGTACCCCCCACAGCAAGCAGCTTGCTATGGGGGGGCACTCTCTGCTTCATGAGTCAATTCACACATGGAGCCACAGCTTGGCCCTGCCCCCTCACTCTCCTCACTGGCTGTCATTTACAGCAGTGGGAGCCAATGGCTCCCACTTACTGTCTCAGCCAATGAGGAGGCAAAGACCCAAGTCAGCCGAGGCTGTCATTCATGTCTCTGGATCTCCATGGGGCTCAGGTAAGTATTGAGGGGGCTGTGGGAGCTGCTTCACACAAAAGGTTTTTTACCTTCATGCATAGAATGCATGAAGGTAAAAAGCCTTCAGCATTTACAACCACTTTAACATGGGAGAGGTGGACTTCAACACATAAATGATGAATCCATACCTAGTTTCAAGCAAAGTTTGGCACTTGTACAATTTGTTTCACTTGGCTATATATAATGCTTTTGTAATTTACAAAGCAATTGGACAAAGTGGATCCTTCCTAAAATTTCAGGAAAAGATCATCACCACCCTTTTGGATCCAGAAGGTGCTGTGGCCCAATCCACAAATACAGATGCAGTGAGCCGGCTGCATGAGAGACATTTTCCTGATGTCCTCTCTAGTACCCCAACCGAAAGGTCACCCCAAAGAAGATATTGTGTCTATAGAAGACACGGAATAAGACATGTCACCCATTTTTTTGTCCCTGCCATCCTGACCAACCTGGTCTCTGCATCAAGGACTGCTTCTGTCGCTGCCACACAGTAGTGAAACATTAGTATAGGATACAGCATGGCACAGTCTATGGTACATTTTCACAATTATCACACAAGGATCTCAAAAGATGTTAGATATTCAGGAAACATATTGAGAGACCCTAAAATTAGAGGCTGTTCTTCAAAGTTACAAAAAAAGTAAAAAAACATTAAAAAGTTAAAAAAAAAAAGTAAAAAAAAATAATGTTATTATATTGAGTTAATGTTCTATTGTTGCTATGTTTTATTGTTAACCATTGTTTTCTTTTCAGGAACACCATTCAGTTGCAGCACCAATTTGTTTTTTTCTGACAGCAACAGGCTCTCAGAATATATGTCAGTGCATGCAACAAGGACCAGGGGCGTACTGGTACATCGCTGGACTTTGAGTGGCTATACCGGTAAGATGCCGGGAATATACGTCAGTGTGGGAGGAGGAGATTTCTTATCTGCAGTTAAAAAAAAGAATATATGCTCAAGCACGGGGTCCTGGGGTGGTCAGTGGGTGGATAGCTCCTATGCTTCAGCATATATTTTAAACTTTTTTTGGCAGAGATTTCTTCATCCATATTAATTGATATGAATGAAGGATCTTTTATGTTCTTTTTTTTGTTCAGCTCATGGGCTGAACGAAAAAAGGACATTGTATGTATGCCCAACATTAGAAGTGGGTGGATGCAAGGAGGTGTATTCTAATGGTGGACATACCACACACTTTTTCTGGCAGAGATTTCTTCATCCATTGATTGATCAATGTGAATGGATGCATCTGTTAGGTTCTCTTTTTGTGTTCAGCCCACAGGCTGCATGAAAAAAAGAACATTACATATATGCCCAACAAGGACCAGTGACATATTGGTACATCGCTAAACTTTGAGTGGTTATACTGGTATGATTCCTGCACCTGCAGGCATCATCCTGGTATTGTTTTTTTTTCCACCAGCAGTCAGTTTTCATTTAACCGCCTCACGCCCACCATATAGTAATATGACAGACGCAAGGTGGTTCTCTCATTCTGGGAGGATGTCATATGACATCCTCCCATTCTAACTGCGCATGAGCATTGTAACGGCTCCCGAAGCGCGCAGTGAGGCGATCAGCGGTGCTCTGTGTCCCTCGGACACAGCGGATCACCGATCCACAGAAAGAGCCGAAGATGTCGGCTCGGTCATGTGATCAGCTGTGTCCAATCACAGCTGATCGCATGTAAACAGGGAAATGCCGGTTAACTGCATTTCTCTCCTCACGAGCTGTCACGCTGCCACAATGCCATGTCACCTGCCAGTGCCCATCAGTGCCACATTAGTACCACATTTCAGTGCCCATCAGTGCCACATTAATGCCACATATCAGTGCCCATCTGAGCTGCCTTTCAGTGTCACCCATCAGTGCTAGTCAGTGCCTCCTATCAATGCCAGTCAGTGCCACCTATCAGTGCTGCCAACCAGTGCCACCTATCAGTGCCAGTCAGTGCCGCCTATCAGTGCCACCTATCAGTGCCGCTTTTCAGTGCCCATCAGTGATGCCTGTCATTGTCCATAAGTTCCACCTACCAGTTTCTCCTCATCAGTGCCCATCAGTGCCACCTATCAGTGTTCATCTGTGCAGCCTATCAGTGCCCATCAGTGCAGCCTTATTAGCGCACCTCAGTGAAGAAGAAAAATCACTTATTTACAAAATTTCATAACACAAACTAAGAAAAACTTTTATTTTTCAAAATTTTCTGTGGTTTTTGGTTTAAGAAAAAATAAAAAAAACCAGAGGTGAATAAATACCACCAAAATAACGCTCTGTCACAAAAAAATGATAAAAATGTCATATGAGTACAGTGTTGCATGACCGCGCAATTGTCGTTCAAAGTGCAACAGCGCTGAAAGCTGGAAATTGGCCTGGGCAGGAAGGGAGTGACAGTGCCCTGTAGGCTAGTGGTTAATAGTAATCCTAGTGGCTAATTAACCACTGGATTGCTTTTACAAGCAGCAGGAGGGGACGCCCCATTAGCCACCATCCACGGCTTTCTAGGGCTCTCCCGTCACATCAGGATACCCAAGAATGTAGCCAGTGGTTCTGCCTACTGACCATAGAGCTGATCAGAGACCGTAACACCTCCAGTCATTTGTATGGTCTAAGAAACCAGAAGCTACGAACACTTCATCATTTCAGTTTTGATGGATATAAACATTTTGAAATTGGGAAAGCATCTGATCACATTAATCTTGGTGTGATCCAATGCTTTAAGTGCAGGGGAGAGATCTAGATTTCTCAGAAAAAAGTACCTGTCACTGCCTTTTGCTAACATAAGGGATATTTACATTCCCTCTGATAACAAAAAAAGTGATTACAAAAATTACAAGGACAGTTTAAAAATAAAAAAAGCAAAATATACAATTAAAAAAATAAATGGTTGCGTGCAAAGCTGGTATGTAAACAGTGATTGCATCATGCATGTGAGGTATCACCACCAACGTCAGATCAAAGGCAGTAATTCTACCACTAGACATCCTGTGTAAATCTAAAGTGGTAACCTGTAAAGACTTTTAAAGAGTTGCCTATGGATATTAAAAATGTACATAGTTTGTCGCCATTGCACAGGTGTGCTCAATTTTAAAGCATGTCATGTTTGGTATTGGCATAACATCCTCTTTTATATTTTACTAAAACATTGATTAGGCAATATATTGTGTCTTTGTGCATTAAAATTCCCCAAAAAATTGTGGTTGAAAAATCATTGGGCATATATTTTGTGACATAAAAAAATTGCAACACCCACCATTTTATTCTCTGCTTTAATAAAATATGTAATTTTTTTAGCAAATTCCTTGGTGTGTCTTCTTCCAAGAAGGGGTCATTTGGGGGGGGGGGGTTTGTACTTCCCTGGCATTTTAGTACCTCAAGAAATATGATAGGCTGTCAGAATTTATGATTAAATTTGAGTTTATGGGATATTTTTTACAACAGAAAGTAGAAAGTTTTGTTTTTTTTTTTGTTCTAAATTTTCTTTCATTTTTTGTTTATATTGCAAAAAATAAAAAAAAAACCCAGGGGTGATCAAATACCACGAAAAGGAAGTTTTATTTGTGTGAAATAGGACATTCATTTCATTTGGGTACAGTGTTGCATGACCGCGCAATTACCAGTTGAAATAGTGCAGTGCCAAATAGCAAAAAATGGCCTGGTCAGGAAAGGGTGGGGAAACCTTCTGGGGCTGAAGTGGTTAAGGAAAGAGACTAACTATTTTTTAATTCCAAGATGATGGAGTTGCATTGTCCTTTAATGGCATTATTTATGTTGTTTGGAGGGAAAAAACTCAAGCAATTTAGTGTCAGTAAAAACATTTTTATTAACCTGCAACCTGTAGTTCTGCTTGCTTATTCAGAATTTCGCACAATAATTTCCTTAACCTCAGTTCTTGAGCTAGAAAACAACAGCGGTCATTTGAGATATAATAACACAAATATGCTGTACACAGAACTGCCAAGAGATGAATTTACTTTTAACCAAATTGGTACTGCCACCCCATCAACATATGACCTTCACCTTTATAAGATTATGTTTGTGACATAAAATAGCACATACTGCTAGACAAGTTAATAGCTACACCATAAATGTATCCCTAGTGAAGGTGACATTAGAGTGCTCTTATTTCACTCTCTGCTTTCATAGGAAAGGGAATTGTATTACATAATAACTACACTTTCTTCCAAGCCACAGAGTGAGAAACTTTTAAAACGCATTATGATGACATTTTTCCTGATTACATTCTAAAGGGATTGTCATTTGGTGAAGTTATGCAACTTCTACCATTGTGAAAATGTCAAGTCTTTGGAATACAGCATTACAGATAACCACAAGGTAAAATAACACATAAAGATGGCTGATGCATAAAGCTTACTGAATTATTATGTATATAAGCAAAAGAAACTATGCATTTTATAGAAAAATACATATACATATACATTTTATAGCAAAATACATATACAGCTTTAAAAACAGATTTAATAATACTTTTATATGTGTTAGCTTTTTACAATACATGTTTTTACACTGTAAATCAATAGTGGTGGAGAAGTACTAAATGAACCAGTAAACTTAGTCAATATTAGGTAACTGTATGTGGATGCAAGTTTTTGACCAACCCATGGTAGCATTTTTACTGCAGGTGAAAAAAAAAAATAAAACTTGAAGTGGTTCTAAAGGTTGAAGGTTTTTTACCTTCATGCGTTCTATGCATGAAGGTTAAAAACCTTCAGTATGCAGCTCCCCCCACAGCCACGCCTAATACTTTCCAGAGCCAGATCTTGATCATGTGATGTGTACAACAGCAGCTGCTCTCCCGGGTCTCTGCCTTCTCATTGGGAGCCATTGGCTCTTGCTGTTGTCAATCACAGTGACAGTTTTGTTGAACTGGATGGACTTTTGTCTTTTTTCAGCCAGACCAACTATGTAGAAAAGGAGGGAGCAGGGGCAGGACCAATCCCTGTTTCTGTGTCTTATGGACACACAGAGTGTGGCTTAGGAATGAGCATGCACAAATGCCTGCAGAGCAAGTGGCTTGCTATTGGGAAACTTGGAGAAGAGAAGCAAGGTGTGCCGAAAGGGGACTCGAGAAGAGGAGGACAGAGACTGCTATGTGCAAAACCGTTGTACAGAGCAGGTAAATATAAATTTTTTTTTTAATTTTAAGATTTATTATCACCCTAAAGTGACCCATGGCATTCTTCTTGCTTTCCCATCTAACAGTACCCACGCTGACTAATATAAGCTCTTTATTTTAGCCTTAGTAGAATCTCAGAAAACTTTTTCTAACCTCTCCATTTGATGGGTCTCTCAGAGATTAACTTGTCAGCAGGGTCAAACTTCTCTGAGATATGAGATAATCTCTTTGGTTGAAAACTGCTGGAATAAACAACTGTCGCTTATCTATGTGGTACCTTAACAGAGTAAAACAATCTCTTGCTTCTTAGGCTATAAAAGTTACTGCAATCAGTCTGATTTACTGCTGCTGGCTCAAAATATGTTATGTGGGCAATTTTTAAATATTAGCGCATAAACCTAGCAGCAGTTATACAGGTATACGAGATATACAGTGCATCTATCTACTGTATCTATATATCTATTAAACTATCTAAATAGGAAGCCCACTCTCCATAGGCCACCCACTGGGATCAAGTGGGGATCTCTTTGTTACAGCTGCTGGAGTTTATAGGCAAAAATATTCACCCCATATGAAATCTGTGACATGAAAGAATGTAATGCTTTTGCATCAGTGCACTTATATCAGACTAGGTTGGCATTCTGCAGATTTAATTGTCCTTTTGACCACCTTAGCAATGAATTCACTTTAGTTGCTGTATCCTATGAAACTGTCTGTATTTAAAGTGAAATCTGACCACTAATAGATTAAATTGTTTGTCCCAGAAGGTGGTAGGCATGGTCAGCCAATGGCAATAGGAAAAAAAGGTTTTGTATTTAGACAGTTAGGTAAACCCCTGAAAAAAACAGTTTCACTGATAGATCCCAAAGCTGTAGTACCCTTGGGGCAATCCATGAAAAGTAGAACTTTATTTGTGACTTTAAAACTTCTTGTCCTTACCTTACACCTTTAATAAAAATGTCAAACTATAATGATTCTGTATGTACTAGTATGTATGTTTGTATTATTGTTTCTTTTTTTTAGGTGAATCAGGAAATATAAAATAAAATAGAAAGCGAGCGCTATCCGGAAGTCTGAAAGCGGCTAGAACACCAAAAGGTAACCAAGAGAAAACCTTCAAATAAAGTACATAGACATTTATATATAGAGACCATATATAAGGTGCAGCGCTATAATAACATATAAAATTATAAAAACATAATAAAAACATAAAAGTGCCAATATCAAATCACACTGCGGTGAAGTTAGGTGAGATCAATAATAGTCTCAGAATTGATCAGAAGTGGGGATCCAAACGATCCTAGTAGGTGCGTGGGATAAGATTCTGTGCAGCACACGGTGAATCTGAAGTAAGGATTACGCACTCACCAGAAGTGCGTCAAAAAAACGCATGTAGGTTTTATCCTGTAATGTCAGAGACCGATCATCCGTTGCCAAGATAGGGATAGAATCCTACACCTTCCAGATCGCCCCTTGGGTATGTGCTTCAAGTTTCATAAGCGCATCTCAGGCATATCACCATCCGGGGTCCCCCTTTAAGGCAGATTCTGCAAGTGGGGACTCTCATAGAGGAGAGCCCAATAAGGGACACCACATAGTGTAATACCGTATGAGCTAGGTTTATTCAAGATGCAGCATGATAAAAATACAAAGGGGTAAAATGGAACACTGACCAGATACTGTAAAGGATGACCACCAGCGGTGGTCGGACGTCCAGATAATGCAGCCCCCTGACGCGTTTCGTGCAGTGCACGTTATCAAAGGGTCCTGGGCTTGCATGGGGGGACGCCAAAACAGCTGTTTATAT